TTTTTTTTTTTTTTTTTTTTTTTTTTTTTTTTTTTTTTTTTTTTTGTGTGTGTGTGTGTGTGTGTGTGTGTGTGTGTGTAGCCCTGGCTGTCCTGGAACTCCCTCCATAGACCAGGCTAGATATACTCACAGAAATCTGCCTGCCTCTGTCTCCCAAGTGCTGGGATTAAAGGTGTGCACTGCCACCAAAAATTTTAATGTGTATGGATTTTTTTAAAAGCATGTATGGATTTTTAAAAGATTTTCTTAATTTTTAATGTTTTGCCTGAATGTCTGTCTGTGCACCATGTGTGTGCCTGGTTCCCTTGGAGGACGGAAAAGGGATCAGGTCCCCTGGAGCTGGAGTTAGGTTGGAACCGCCATGTGAGTGCTAGGAATCTAACCTGGGTCTTCTGGAAGAGCAGCCAGTGCTTTTAATCACAGAGTCATTCCTCTAGTCCCTGGATTTTCTCCTAACAGGAGTCTTCCAAGAAAGTAAAGAGAGCTGACCACCATGGCACAGGCCTTTAATCCCAGCAGTTAGGCAGATCTCTGAGTGCAGGCCCAACCTGATCTACAAAGCAAGGTCCAGGCCAGTCAGGGCTACACAGGGATATGCTGTCTCAAAAATAAAAACAAAATTAAAGATGATCTTGATAAAGTGCTCCTCAAGTCTACGAATTTAACTTGGTATTTAAGGACAACCTGAAGGTGACTGTATGCCACACAGCCTGGGCTGAAGGAGATTAGTGGTAAGACGGCAGGACAGTCCATCCACATGGTGTCCTTCCACTGGTGCTGTTCTTGCCTAACCTGGGAAGGCCCTGGGTTCAAGCCTAACGCTATAACTGTTAGAACAGTGAATTGACTTGTTATTAGTTTCGGTTTAGAATAAGCGACTTTCTTCTGTTAAACCAGTTTCCATACCTGTCAAAGTAAAGGCAACAAGAAAACCTATGTTAGAGTTGTTGATAGGATAAGTCCTACACTATAGCCTATACAGTAAGCACTTTTCCCAAGTAAACAACTAGTCACTGCTGTTCTTTACATTTTTCACTGCTACTTTGCACCTATTCCTCTGTATTTAGTGCTCAAAAAGCAGAGTAGGTACTTACTTTCACGCCAGCACTAATTCTTTAAATCTCCTCCTATAGTCATGCAGAGCCACGCACGCCTGCGGGCCACTTGGCACCAGACAGCTGCGGGCCCGGGCCTGAGATAACAGGCTTCCGACTACGTGGCACTCCTAGCACTCGGTCTTCCCAACCTGTCATTCTTCCTAGCCTGCAGGCGCAAGCTGCACGGCGCCCCAGCCACGTCTTCCTAGCCCTCCGGCCTCAGCCGCACGTGCTCGTCCCCGTCGCCCGGGGGCGCTGTGGAGCCGGGCCGCGGGGTGTCGTGAAAACGTCGTGAAAGCGGCCTTCCTTGGCGGTTCCGGGCCACCTGTATAAGCGGGACGTGCTGGAGTGTGGAAGTTAGTATGGACCCTTCCGTGAGGCCCCGGTGCCGCTCGGTTACGCTGGGGAAGCCGGCGGCCGGCGCCAGCGGCTTCTGAGCTCTCGACGCGCGGACTCCGCGGTGGCAGCAAGGCCATGCTGGCCTGGCGCGTGGCGCGCGGCGCGTGGGGGCCCCTTCGCGTGGCCGTGCGGTCTCCGGGGGCGCGGCTGGGCAGGGGCGGCTCCCGCAGGGCCCTGCTGCCGCCCGCGGCCTGCTGCCTGGGCTGCCTG